TGTTTTTTTTTCGCTGTTTTTCCTTTTTTTTCTCGTTCTTTCATCATAATTTTCTTATCTCTTATAATAACTAATCATTCCATACACATTATTCTCATATATATTAATACGTCCGTCGTATTATTTTTGTGTGCACGTGTCGTCTACTTGTTTATTTTCAAAAAAGATTGAAGGAAATCAAGTTTAAGTCTGATCTTATTTTCTTGTTTCAAATGAGTACAGAAAACTTTCGTTTTTACATCAAAACCCGTACTGCACTTAATATTCAAGCAAGAATTATTCATGATGAATTGTATTCTGTTTATGGTGATCAAGCTCCTTCTCTTAGAACAGTGGAAAGATGGTCCAAGTTATTTCGTGATGGTCGAGAAGAACTTGAAGATACAGCACGACCTGGTAGACCTATCACTGAAACAACATCTGAAAACATCGAACAGATTCGTCAGCTTATCGATGATGATCCTTATCTTACAATAGAAGAGTTACAAGAGCAAACTGATTTAAGTTACGGTACGATTCATCGAATCATCACCAATCATTTAAACCTTAGGAAAATTACCGCACGTTATATACCGAAAGATCTTGCTGATTTTCAACGGGCTGAACGAGTTCGAATATGTAAAGAAAACTTATCAAAATTTCAACAAGGAACATGGCGATTATGTGACATAATTACTGGCGACGAATCGTGGTTTTATCATAAACAGATTGGTCGAAAGTCGTCAAATGCAGCGTGGGTGAGAAGAGGAGATCCTCCACCTACTGTAGTTCGTCAAAGTAAGTATGTTCCAAGGACCTTATTAGCCATCTTTTTCAAGTCGAACGGTCCTCTGCTTATTCATCGTTTGGAACGAGGACAGACTATGGACCATCGTTATTATATTGATAATTGTTTACGTCCTCTTATCGATGAAATTAAACGTCAAAGACCTTCATGTGGAACCCATGACATTAAAATTCATCATGACAATGGAAAACCACATGTTCATAGAGATGTGTGTACTTATCTTGAATCAAAAGGTTTTACAATTATGCCACATCCACCTAATTCTCTGGACCTATCTCCTTGCGATTTTTGGTTATTTGACTTAATCAAAGATAATCTGTCTGATCAAAGTGATTCACAATCATTATATGACGCGGTGGTCAATTTCATGTATTCTTTGAGTAACGAAGAATACAAGAAAACCTTTGAAAAATGGATGGAAAGAATGCAATTATGTATAGATAATCAAGGTGGTTATTTCGAACATTTGATAAAATAAACAATTGATAAACTCGTCCTTGTAGTTTTTTTTTGTTGTATCACTATTACTTCTTGTTCACTATGAAATATATAGATAACTAGTTATTATAAGAGATAAGAAAATCATGATGAAAGAACGAGAAAAAAAA